AAATAATAATGGTTTTTTTTTGTTTTCTCTCAATTTTTCAGGTTTTCAAGTTGCCTCCGGATCTAAACAGAACAGCTCTGATCCCACCTCAAAACTGGAAAATCGACGGTGTTCTTAATCCACAGTACAAATGCGGGCCACCGGTTCGTGTTGATCCATCGCAGTTCCCGGATTCTAGCGGTCTACCGGCTATAACCTACGCAATCGCCAGCTGGCAAGTGGTCTGTAACATAACTAAACCCAAAGCTCAGGCCGCAAGATGTTGTGTCTCTTTCTCTGCCTTTTACAACAGCTCTGCAATTCCTTGCAACACTTGTGCTTGCGGATGCAATGACATCGATACCGACACTTGCAATGCTGACCGTAACCCGCTCCTCCTCCCTCCTGATGCTCTCCTCGTCCCATTCGAAAACCGAACCCTAAAAGCTAAAGCTTGGGCTAAACTAAAGAACATGCCAATACCCAAGAAACTTCCTTGTCCGGATAACTGTGGAGTCAGTATTAACTGGCACGTGAACACGGATTACAAAAATGGTTGGACCGCAAGGTTAACCGTGTTCAATTGGAGAGGTTTCGCGTTTGAGGATTGGTTTGTGGCAATTGATATGGGAAAAGCAGGTACAGGGTATGAAAACGTTTACTCCTTTAATGGGACACGTGTTCCACCACACAATAGAACCGTTATGTTCCAAGGTTTGCCTGGTATGAACTATCTTGTGGGTCAAGTTAACGGAACCAATCCATTAAGAGACCCTGCTGTGCCTGGAAAGCAACAGTCTGTTATCTCCTTCACCAAGAAGAACATCCATGGACTGAATATTCCTGCAGGCGATGGTTTCCCAACCAAACTATTCTTCAATGGAGAAGAATGCGCGCTACCAGAACATTTCCCAAAGAAGAGCTCAGGACGTAGACGCGGTATCAGTGTCTTGATGTCACTTGTTTTCGCTATGGCTGTAGCTTTGGCGCTAATGATGTGATGTCATAACTAAAAGTTAGCATTATGGATCAGTTTTCGACTTTTAAAGATTGGTGTTTTGACGCTGTTTCTGGACAGGAGAAGGATCAAAAGGAGCAAATGTGGAGAGATCTGTGTAATATAAATGATCTATAATGAAAAAAAATGGACATGATGTATTAATACTTTTGTTTGGTCTATAAAATTGTTCATGTGTCTGTTTGTTCTCTAATGATCCCAAAGCTCAGAACAATGTCGGTTTTTTTTTTTTTTTTTTTTGACATGAAGAAGATCTTAGTCTTTTGATTTGGAACTTTTTGTTTGTGAAATCTCTCTTGTTCTTTTAACATCTTTATTATCAAAATATATTTTTAAAAATAAGTGGGAAGCAAAGAACAAAACCTTTGACAGCTCACATGAGATTCCAAAACTGAAAAAAAAAAAACACTTCTTGAAACTTGAAAGAAGAAATTTATACTTTGTTTAGAATCTAAGAAAGACAATAAAAAGCTTCTTTGCAACATCTACTAAGAAACCTCACCCTTATATAAACGAGAATATTATACTTAAAGTGACTTTTCTACTTTACAATTATACTTTGAGTGACTTTAGGACAGAGATGCACTTTCATCAATTGAAATGACTTTCTTATCCTTCTTTTTTTAATCGACACTTTCAAATACTCTTTTTAATTTTTTTACCTTTTTTTTTTTTTTTACATTCATTGTACTCTCCATAAAATTAGAAACCCTCCCACGGGCACCGTCGCCTCTCAGTCCGGCCAGTCTCACCATGTCGTCTGACCCCTTTTCCGTCAAGTCTCAACCTTCCAATTCTATTGAATTCTACAGGGAATTTTTCTTTTTGATTGTTTTTATTTCTGCTCTGTGAAGAAGAAATCTATTTCAATTCCTTAATTTCTCTTAAACAAAACCCTAACTTCTTTTTGTATCTCAGTTTCACCAATCCCCCATTTTGTGAATTCAGGCTTCAACACACTTGGATGCTTACCTTGTCTCATATCTTTTTCCTTCGATCGTGTTTTAAAACTCTGCTTCCCTTCTTTGTTCTTTTAATATATTTGACTGTGGATGATTTTATTGGACGGATATTTGATCTCAGTTTGAAACATACGTTTACGTTTCACATTTCTTTTTGGATTTTTTTTCATGGATACTTTTGTAACGCTATTGGATGCTTATTATTTGCCTACTTGGACACTATAATAATAAAGCAACTATCTTTTTTTACTCGTGGATACTTTGCTCTTGGATGCTGTTTAGTGCAACCTCAATCTGCTTTTCACATTCACAGTCGTGGATACTTACTCTCACTGATAATGATTAAACAGACTTTAGGACCAAAAAAAGAAATGAAGAGAACTTACTCATTCTTTTTACTTTGATTTCTTGTTTCTATTTGCTTATTCTTAGGAGATGCCAAAGAATCACAATGTAGATGCTCATGATGAACAACATAATCCGCAGGAACAAATGCAGAGTGATGCTCTGGCGCCGTTGCGACAGGACCAATTCGTTACCTTTGATTCTTGATTTAAAATCTAGTCTAAGATGTACTAACTTGTTCTTTCTCGTTTTTCTTGTGTGTGTTTCAGTTGCATGAACACTAGATCTCGAAGGAGAAACCGCAACGAAGATCTTCTCATCCTGTCCAACACAGAACTTGCGAGAATAGAACGAGCAAACAAACAACAAAGGCCTACTTCCGCCAATATGGGCGATCAAGGCAATGATAACATGGCTGCTCAGTTGCAGCAACTCCAACAGGAGATAGAGCAGATGCGGAAAGCTCAAAAAGATAGAGAACCGCAACTACGTGCTGTCATTGGAGACAAGGACAACCCGCATACTTTCTATCAAAACCGGTTTGCGATTGTTCCTCCAGCCGTTCAGAGGCAAGACTTTGAGATCAAGCCGAGCATAATCGCACTAGTCAAGGATCACCTCTTCCATGGACTACCTGCTGAGGTTCCAATGGACCACATCGAGAACTTTGAGGAAATATGCAGTACGACTAGCTCGGATGGAGTACCAGCTGACTTTCTGAAGTGCAAGCTATTCCCGTTCTCACTTGCCAACAAAGCATCTCGCTGGCTGAAGTCATTACCATCTGGGTCTTTGACAACATGGGCCCAATGTAGAGCGGCGTTTCTGAACCATTTCTACACGAAAGACAAAACTGCAGGTCTGAGGACTAAGATCTCATCTTTCCAGCAGTACGAAGGTGAAGTTTTCTGCGAAGCATGGGAAAGATACAGAGAGTACCGAAGAGTGTGTCCTCATAATGGATACTCTGATGAGCAAATCCTGAGTATCTTCTATGACGGAGTCAACTGGGACTACAAGAACGCCTTGAACTCAGCCAGCAATGGTGATTTCATGACGAAGTCCAAAGAATGTGCATTCGAGCTGATCGAGAATCTTGCAGCAAGCTCTAGCAACAAGAACGCTGGGTACGACAGAACAGTGGGCACTGTGTCAGTCAAGGGAAGCGGCGCTGAAGCGAAGAAAATTGAGGAATCCACGGCCAAGGTGAACCTACTGATGAAGGCATCACAAAAGTCTGTTCATTTTGTTGACGAAACTGATGATACACCTATCTCCCAAGAGTTTGGAGGAGAAGAGGATGAAGATGACCAGATGGAGGTTAACTATGTGAGTGGGCAAGCTTTTGGGCAGAACCGTGGCTTCAACCAGAACTACAGGAATCACCCAAACATGTCCTACAGGAGCACCAACGTCGAGAACCCTCAAGATCAGGTCTATCTGCCGCGATCGAACCAGAACCAGCAGGGTTTTCAGAAGAGCTACCCCAATAGCTTCCAGGAAAAGACCTTTGCCCCAAACCAGAACCGTTCTCAAGGTGGTAACCAACAGAAGGCGCAGTTCAGCAACCAGCAACAACCTTCAAGTTCATCAAACAACTCTAACGATGAGCTGAAGGGTATGATGCAGCAGATGTTGATGAACCAGCAGAAATCCTCTGCGGAGACACACTTGAAGATAGACACCATGTACAACGATCTGAATGGGAAATACGAGGCTGTGTGGACTCATGTGAAGAAGCTGGATGTCCAAGTAGCTCAAACGGCTGAAGCAGTGAAGAGACCTCATGGAACCCTTCCTGGGAAAGGAGAGACGAACCCCAGGAATGAATATGTTGCACAAGTTAAGCTGAGAAGTGGGAGAAAGCTGTTACCAGATGCAATTCCTCTTAAAAGGCCATGCAAGGAGAAGGTCGACGAGCACCAGGAAACAGGAGGACATGTGAGCGGAGTTGATCGAGCTGCTCCGAGTGGAATCGATCGGTCTGATGATGACGCCTCGTCATCTCAGGAACCCATTCTTGAATCCGACTTACCTATTCCTGTAGCAGCAGAGCCTGCTCCAGCAAGAGCCTACACACCTAAGGTGCCTTACCCTGTTCCACCGAAGAAGTCAAGAAAAGATTTGGAGGAAGCAAAGTGTAAGGAGATGTTGAGGGACTTGACTGTGAAGCTGCCTCTTTCTGATGCTGTTCAGATGATTCCTGCTTTGAAAAAGTACATAAAGGAGTTGATATCTGGGAAAGTAGCTGAGGAGGAAAACGTCATGCTAGTATCTGAGGAGTGTAGCGTCGTGCTGCAAAACAAGGTGATAAAGAAGAGGAGCGACCCAAGAAGATTTGTCTTATCAGTGCAGATTGGTCACATGATCTTCAGGTGCTCTCTTTGTGATCTTGGCTCGAGTGTGAACTTGATGCCATATTCTGTGGCCAAGCGATTGGAATACACCAAGTTCAAACCCACAAAAGTCTCTTTGGTTTTCGCTGACAGATCGACTAAGTTCCCAGTCGGTATACTTGAGGATCTACATGTGCAGATAGGGAATACACTAATTCCAGCAGATTTTGTGGTCCTTGAGCTCGACGAAGAACCTAAGGATCCGCTGATATTAGGGCGAAACTTCCTATGCACAGCTGGTGCAATCATTGATGTGAAGGGAGGGACCATTGATCTCCATCTTTGAGACATCGTCATGAGGTTCGAGATGAACAAACTTCTCAAGAAGCCAATGTTGGATGGGCAAACCTATGTGATTGAAGATGGTTCAAACTTGGTGGACGAAGTGAGTGAGAAGATGCCTCTTGACGATCCTCTGGAGGTAGCTTTGACTAAAGCTAAAGGAGAGTTTGATTTCCCGAATGAGGAGGCCGATGGCTTCGGAAATATAATGGATGCAAGCAGCAAAATGGAGAGACTGGTAGCATTCATGAGCATGGAGAATGAGGAGGATTCACAGAAACCCCATGCTGCACCACCTCGGGAGAGTCCTGTCAATAACCCTTGGAGCGAGTCGAGTGCACCTAAGCTCGAGCTGAAAACACTCCCTGAGGGGCTTAGGTATGTATTTCTTGGACCTAACTCTACATACCTGATGTACTTGCATTTTACATAGTTTTAGTACATCTTTTATGCATCTTTTGCATAGTTTTAGCATCCATTAGCATCATTTCTTGTTCCTTTTCTCTCCTTATGCATTCATAGTAGTTTTAAGTTGCATTTGCATACATATGCATGTTTGGTCCTTTGAAATAGGTCTTTTGGAGCATTTTGGAGCATATGGGACGTGAGGAGCAAGGAAGGACTTGGTGCATGGACGCAGCTCAACTGGATACGCAAAGGCTAAAAGCCACGAAAAAACCACCAAGCTTTAGATTACTTTTTGTTTTAGTTTCTTTTTAATTATTGTCTTTTACTTTTTAGAGCTCTAATCCCATCTTTGTGTTCTTGAAGCTCTTGCTTCTTGAATCTTAGATCCTGGATAATCTCTTTTGTATTTGCACTTATCTATTTGAATAAAAGTTGTTCATCTTTATCTCCTCTTTCATATGATGTTTGTTTCATTGCATTTGCTTGTGTTTACATTCATGTGTAGTGAGTAGTTACTCATTAGGGTTTGAGATGGGATAGATTAGAGGTTTCATATGCTTAATCCTTCTTGCTTATGGTCTTAATCTATATTCTCTCTCTTTTGGATAAATCTTAAGGCTACATGACCACTACTCCTGGCTTGTATGTCATTAGGCGATTCTCCACATGGAAGTGATGGAAATCGCTGGAAAATATGCACTAAGGGCTCTAATAACTCTTGCTCTCGAAATGGATTTCAAGGGGTTGGATGGATTAGTTTGGGCAATGATCCTATGGCCTCCAAGGTCTGATTCTCACTGGCTAACCCCCTGTTTCTGAGATCATTCCTTGGTTGATAGCCTCCACCTTGGGAAAGGGTTGGCTAGGCATTGAGAAGCCCAATATCAAGAGAAGCCTTGATACAAGGAGTTTTAAGAGCAGGATTGATTAAGTGTAGCTTCCCCTAGTTAAAAAATCTTGTCTTGAACCCTAATTTTCGCATTAGCTTGTTACAGTCGCTGCCTTTATTGCTTTTTATTTCAACTCGACCCTTAACTCGATCGAGCTCGGTACTCTGTTCCAACTCGACTCGAGTCCTTGGTCGAGTTGTTGCTTTACTGCTTTTCTTTCTATTTCTGCATTGCATTTCATTTTGTTAGGTTGTTAGTGTTACCCCCATATCAATTATTGCTTGCTTGACTTCCTGGTTATTTCATATTCTCATAGAGTAACAACTTCTCACATTTTGGATTGATACCCTTTATGCTATAATGACTATCATGGTTAAAGGGAATTGTTGACTGTGTTTGTGTTTGCATCTTACCACCTCATCATATACCACAGTTGCATTCCACCACATCTCATTTCATATCATTCACATCCACACACAAATCTTATCATCAATACCCTGTGATAGTGAATTCTGAGCTGAACAATGTTGAACTTGCTTTGCTTCTCTGTGAGCTTAGGAAGTATAGAAAAGCAATAGGGTATTCGCTAGATGACATCCCTGGAATCTCTCATGATCTTTGCATGCATAGAATACATCTAGAAGATGAATCGATGACTTCTGTAGAACATTCAGAGGAGGTTAAACCCGAATCTAAAAGATGTTGTCAAGAAAGAGATAATGAAACTTCTAGAGGCTGGTGTAGAAGATACTTGGGTTAGTCCTTCATGTAGTTCCTAAGAAAGGTGGTATTACTGTTGTTAAGAATGATAGGAATGAGCTGATACCCACTAGAACTGTCACTGGTCATCGCATGTGCATTGATTACCGCAAACTGAATGCTGCAACTCGTAAAGATCATTTTCCTCTCCCGTTTATTGATCAGATGCTTGAGAGATTGGCTAACCATCCATACTACTACTTTTTAGATGGTTACTCAGGTTTCTTTCAGATCCCCATCCACCCAGACGACCAGGAGAAGACGACATTCACATGTCCATATGGCACTTATGCTTATCGCAGAATGCCGTTTGGACTGTGCAATGCACCGGCCACGTTCCAGCGCTGCATGATGTCCATTTTCACTGACCTTATTGAGGACATAATGGAAGTTTTCATGGACGACTTTTCTGTCTATGGAAGCTCTTTTGCTGTGTGTTTGTCTAATCTGTGCAGGGTATTGCAGCGGTGTGAGGAGAGACATCTTGTGCTGAACTGGGAGAAATGCCACTTCATGGTGAGAGATGGGATCGTGCTGGGACATAGGATTTCAGAGAAGGGAATCAAGGTTGACAGAGCGAAGATCGAGGTGATGATGAGTCTGCAGCCGCCTAATTCTGTCAAGGGAATCCGCAGTTTTCTGGGGACATGCAGGGTTCTACAGGCGTTTCATCAAGGACTTCTCCAAGATCACCAGACCTTTGACGCACTGTTGTGTAAGGAGGTCAAGTTCGACTTTGACAGTGCATGCTTTGGAGGCCTTTCACACGATCAAGGGAGCTCTAGTGAGTGCTCCAATTGTCCAACCTCCAGACTGGAACCTTCCTTTCGAGGTGATGACAGATGCTAGTGACTATGCTGTCGGAGCGGTCTGGGACAGAGAAAGGAGAAGAAGCTGCATGTGATCTACTACGCCAGTCGCACACTTGATGAAGCTCAGTGCAAGTACGCTACGACTGAGAAAGAACTGCGGTGTGTTCTTTGCATTTGAGAAGTTTCGGTCCTATCTTGTTGGATCGAAGGTGATTGTCCATACTGATCACGCTGCCTTGAAGTACTTGCTGACGAAGAAGGATGCGAAGCCGAGACTCTTGAGATGGATTCTTTTGCTTCAGGAGTTCGATCTGGAGATCAAGGATAAGAAAGGGATTGACAATGGTGTAGCTGATCATCTGTCAAGGATGAAGATCGATGATGACGTCCCTCTAGACGACAACCTACCTGATGAGCACGTCTACGCAGTTGAGGTGATCGATTATGGCGAGCCCCTGCTCGCAGATGATGGAGTTCGATCGAGCGCAAATGAAGAGATCGATCGAACGGAGGATGACGGAGATCGTACTATGTGCTGCAACCGTTGACCATCGCAGTTTCCCGTGGTTTGGAGAGATAGCCAATTACCTCGCTGCTGAGCACGAACCTACTGGTTTGTGGGGAACAAGAAGAAGAAGTTCCTGAGAGACATTAGGCACTATTTCTGGGATGAGCCATACCTATACAAGCACTGCACCGATGGAGTTTACAGGAGATGTGTAGCTGATGAGGAGATACCTGAGATCTTGTTCCACTGTCATAGCTCGTCTTATGCTGGGCACTTCGCCACACAAGACTGTATCCAAGGCACTACAAGCTGGCTACTGGTGGCCCACTATGTTCCGAGATGCACAGATTCGTGTCTAAGTGTGATGTATGCCAGAGACAGGGGAACATCAGTAAGAGAAACGAGATGCCACAGAACTTCATTCTGGAAGTAGAGGTTTTCGACGTGTGGGGAGTTGACTTCATGGGACCCTTCCCATCTTCCTATGGAAATCAATACATTTTGGTGGCTGTCGACTATGTATCTAAGTGGGTAGAGGCTTTGGCCAGTCCCACTAATGATGCAAAAGTCGTGATGAAGATGTTCAAGTCGGTCATCTTTCCCTGCGTTTTGGTGTGCCAAGAGTTGTTATCAGCGATGGAGGTCTCATTTCATCAATAGAACCTTTGATAATCTTTTGAAGAGGCATGGGGTGAAGCACAAGGTGGCGACTCCTTATCATCCCCAGACGAGTGGCCAAGTCGAGCTATCTAACAGAGAGATCAAGAACATTCTTCGGAAAACTGCAGGCACAACTGGGAAGGATTGGGCTTCAAAGTTAGATGATGCACTATGGGCCAAAGGGTTTCCATTCCCCTCTGGTACATCCATGGTATCAGTAACAAGCACCTCAGGTTCCTCTTGTACCCTCTGAGTCCTGTGACTTCTCTTTCTATCCGTGGTGAAGTCTAGCTCGACCAAGTCTTTTGTTGTCCGACTCGATCGAGTTCGCATACACCTGCAAAAAGAATCAAAAACCCAGCAATACAAAGAACATGGGTGGGATAGCTTGATCGTCCAAGTGTATTAGAAACTCAAATGCAACAATATTCAACCAAAAATGGCAACGGCGCCAAATTGATAATAGGATTTGTGTGTGGGTGTGAAAGATATGATATGAAATGTGGAATGCAACAGTGGTATATGAAGATGAGGTGGTAAGATGCAAACACAATCACAATCAACAATTCCCCTTAACCATCATAGTCATTATAGTATAAGGGGTATCAATCCATATGGGTGAAATTGTCATCTATGAAATATGCAATAACAAGGAAGTCAAGCAAACAGTAAATGATATGGTGGTAACACTAACAACCTAATGAAAGAATGCAAAGCAGATAAAGTAAAGAAAGCAGTAAAGCAACAGCTCGACCAAGGACTCGAGTCGAGTGGGAACAGAGTAACCAAGCTCGATCGAGTTAGGGTCGAGTTGAAGTAAAAAGCGATAAAGGCAGGAACTTTAACAAGCTAATGCGAATATTAGGGTCTAAGACAGGGTCTTACAATCAGAGGAAGCTATACTTAATCAATCTTGCTCTCAAACAACTTGTATCAAGGTATCTCTTGATATTGAGCTTCTCAATGCCTAGCTAACCCTTTCCCAAGGTGAAAGCTATCAACCAAGACTGATCTCAGAAACAGGGGGTTAGCCAGTGAGAATCAAGCCTTGGAGGCCATAGGATCATTGCTCAAACTAATCCATCCAACCCCTATGAACTCCATTTCGAGAGCAAGAGTTATTGGAGCTCTTAGTGGACCTTTTCCAACGATTTCCATCACTTCCATGTGGAGAATCGCCTATGGACATACAAGCCAGGGGTAGTGGTCATGTAGCCTTAAGGTTTGTCCAAAAGAGAGAGATTTCTAGATTAAGAACATAAGCAAGAAGGATTAAGCATAAAGATCCCCTAATCTAGCCCATCTTTGACCCTAAAGGAAACTACTCACTACACATGAATGTAAACACAATCAAATGCAATGAAAGCGACATAATATGAAAGAGGAGATAAAGATAAACAACTTTTATTGAAATAAGCAAGTGCAAATACAAAAGATAGAGCCAGATCTAGGATTCAAGAGCAAGAGCTCAAGAACACAAAGAGAGGCTTAGGGTTGCAAAAAGTAAAGACAATAATTAAAAGAAAGCTAAAACAAAAATAAGCTAAAGATTGTTGTCTTTTTCGTGGCTTAGAGCCTTTAAATACAAAGGGATTAGGTTTAGGGTCAAAGGAAGTCAAGGGGGAAGCAACATTTTTCGGGTTTGACTGTTGACTTCTCAGCTCGATCGAGTTGAAGCTTGGCCGGTCGAGTTGAGGAACTCGACCGGATGGTCGAGTAGGTGGTCGAGCTGGTCTTCAAGATGACTTCCTCCTTCTTCCTTTGCGTATCCAGTTGAGCTGCGTCCATGCACCAAGTCCTTCCTTGCTCCTCACGTCCCATATGCTCCAAATGCTCCAAAAGACCTATTTCAAAGGACCAAACATGCATATGTATGCAAATGCAACCTAAAACTACTATGAATGCACAAGAAGGGAAAAGGAACAAGATATGATGCTAATGGACTAAAACTATGCAAAAGATGCATAAAAGATGTACTAAAACTATGCAAAATGCAAGTACATCACATACCCAAACATGGATTCATAGGTAAGGAACATCAAATGGACCAAATTTGAGAACCAGAAGAGGTAAGGAGTCTGAAATGTACCTTTGTGACTCCACATTGTGGAAACTCACTTGTAGTGTATAATATGAATTATATGGACCCATACTTACCAAACATGGATTAATAGGTTCTCCACATTACTATGAGGACAAACATGAGTGAAACGGTCTCAATCCAAGGGAGGAACATCAAATGGACCAAATTTGGGAACCAGAAGAGGTAAGGAGTCTGAAATGTACCTTTGTGACTCCACATTGTGGAAACTCACTTGTAGTGTATAATATGAACTAGATGGACCCATACTTACCCAAACATGGATTAATAGGTTCTCCACATTGCTATGAGGACAAGCATGAGTGAAACGGTCTCAATCCAAGGGAGGAACATCAAATGGACCAAATTTGGGAACCGGAAGAGGTAAGGAGTCCGAAATGTACCTCTGTGCCTCCACATTGTGGAAACTCACTTGTAGTGTATAAGATGAACTAGATGGACCCATACTTACCAAACATGGATTAATAGGTTCTACACATGACTATGAGGACAAACATGAGTGAAACGGTCTCAATCCAAGGGAGGAACATCAAATGGACCTAATTTGGGAACCGGAAGAGGTAAGGAGTCTGAAATGTACCTCTGTGACTCCACATTGTGGAAACTCACTTGTAGTGTATAATATGAACTAGATGGACCCATACTTACCCAAACATGGATTAATAGGTTCTCCACATTACTATGAGGACAAACATGAGTGAAACGGTCTCAATCCAAGGGAGGAACATCAAATGGACCAAATTTGGGAACTAGAAGAGGTAAGGAGTCTGAAATGTACCTTTGTGACTCCACATTGTGGAAACTCACTTGTAGTGTATAATATGAATTAGATGGACCCATACTTACCCAAACATGGATTAATAGGTTCCCCACATTGCTATGAGGACAAGCATGAGTGAAACGGTCTCAATCCAAGGGAGGAACATCAAATAAACCAAATTTGGGGACCGGAAGAGGTAAGGAGTACGAAATGTACCTCTGTACCTCTACATTGTGGAAACTCACTTGTAGTGTATAAGATGAACTAGATGGACCCATACTTACCAAACATGGATTAATAGGTTCTACACATGACTATGAGGACAAACATGAGTGAAACGGTCTCAATCCAAGGGAGGAACATCAAATGGACCAATTTGGGAACCAGAAGAGGTAAGGAGTCTGAAATGTACCTTTGTGACTCCACATTGTGGAAACTCACTTGTAGTGTATAAGATGAACTAGATGGACCCATACTTACCCAAACATGGATTAATAGGTTCTACACATGACTATGAGGACAAACATGAGTGAAACGGTCTCAATCCAAGGGAGGAACATCAAATGGACCTAATTTGGGAACCGGAAGAGGTAAGGAGTCTGAAATGTACCTCTGTGACTCCACATTGTGGAAACTCACTTGTAGTGTATAAGATGAATTAGATGGACCCATACTTACCCAAACATGGATTAATAGGTTCTCCACATTGACTATGAGGACTAACATGAGTGAAACGGTCTCAATCCAAGGGAGGAACATCAAATGGACCGGATTTGGGAACCAGAAGAGGTAAGGAGTCCTAAATGTACCTTTGCGACTCCACATTGTGAAACTCACTTGTAGTGTATAATGATGAATTATATGGACCCATACTTATCCAAACATGGATTAATAGGTTCTCCACATACTATGAGGACAAACATGAGTGAAACGGTCTCAATCCAAGGGAGGAACATCAAATGGACCAAATTTGGGAACCAGAAGAGGTAAGGAGTCCGAAATGTACCTCTGTGCCTCCACATTGTGGAAACTCACTTGTAGTGTATAAGATGAACTAGATGGACCCATACTTACCCAAACATGGATTAATAGGTTCTCCACATTACTATGAGGACAAACATGAGTGAAATGGTCTCAATCCAAGGGAGGAACATCAAATGGACCAAATTTGGGAACCAGAAGAGGTAAGGAGTCTGAAATGTACCTTTGTGACTCCAAATTGTGGAAACTCACTTGTAGTGTATAATATGATTTAGTTGGACCCATACTTACCCAACATGGATTAATAGGTTCTACATGACTATGAGGACAAACATGAGTGAAACCGGTCTCAATCCAAGGGAGGAACATTAAATGGACCAAATTTTGG